AGCTGCAATTTCACGTTGGTTCTCGACTTTCCACAAATAGTGGAGCTCCTCCGACTCGAATGACTTCCGATCAGTCAAGAGGAAAGGAGCCACTGGAACCATAGGTGGTTTGATCTTGAAAATAATTGTGCCGTACCAGCGGGACGCTCGTGTTCTGCCGGTTTCACTGAACGCAGCCAAAATGAAAGCTATGACAAGCACAGCACAGCAGGTGATTGACCATAATAGCCCTTTGCTCCAGGTCGAGCGCACTTCTACAGGAGCTTGTTGACTGTCGCACAACACACTTTCCCTGCTGCTTGACATGGCTATGTTGCCCTGCTGAAAGAAGAGACGGTCAGAGATCTCTCTTAGGTGATGACGGTGCTAATAGCGCACAAGCTTTGCTTCGGAGAGGTAAATAGCTTGCGCACATTTAAATCAATGATGCTGGGGACTTGGCAGGACGTGGGCCGTGTGGACATTGTCTTCACTACGTACGGCACCTTCGGGACACACCCTGAGAACCGTTACCTGTTGGTAACGTGCCTGGACTCACAATCAAAAAGCTGCAGCGCGCTGAGAACACCACATGCAGAGCTGAGGGCACTTTATGTCCCTCACCTGATTCTGGCAACGAAAGAGAAGTTATGCTCGGAAATCCTCCGCTTCCCCTTGCCTTAATTTTTTGACCTCCCACAAAGATATGCTAGCCGTTAACCGGTCACACCTTCTTAAGCTACCTTCTTTTTTATCGCCCCACACATCCGGGTCGCCTCATGTTGACATCCTCCGTCTTGGACGTTTGACAGCCGAAGTTGCCACCTTCGTGAATGTGTTTACATTGTGCTTTGCCTCGCAGTCGCAGAAGTTGCTTTTATATTGTGTTTTCCTTGCTTGATACTGATATCCTCTCATTCTCGCACCAATCTTGTATCTTGAGGCGCATAAAGGCGCGAAGCCTTTTCCGCGCATGCCATCTTGATGCGATCTTGAGCTACGACTGTGCGCGTTTGAAACTTATTGATGGCCATCACGACGGCGGACGCTGGCATTAATTTCTAGGTCATTATCTTCCCTTCCACGTAACAAGTGCAATGTAATATACCGAAAATGACATCGTAACTGCATTTAGCAGCAGCACGACTGCCGCGATTGCGACGCTGCGCATCCAGACCAAGACGGGAACGCAGGCGACGGCGAAGGTGCATCTCATATACCCGGGCCTCCACAAGGGCCACGTCTTCCCTCAGAAGGGCGTGGCGGCAGCAGATGCCTCCCTGAGTCTGGCGTT